ATACGTGCTTGGTGTGTGTTGCAGTTTTGCAATTCATTCCAGGTACAGTTTCATCTGGCCTGCATCCCCCTAATCAATGATCCATCCTGATTTGCAGAAATATCTAAATAAGTAATTTAGGGGAAATATGCAAACCCACAAATATGCAATGAGCGAGATTATGGAAGCAGTTACAAGGGAAAATGGAACGGATTATGAAGGAGGACAGTTAAAGCAGCACACGAAGGCTTCAAATTCTCCCTGGAAGAATTGGAAAATGGAAGTGAACCCATTTTTTTCCCAATTAAAATCTTTTAACCCAAAGTGTAGCGAAATTGTGTGACACGTGATCTCCCAGCCATGTAACAGAGCTTTGAACTTTCTGAACTTTGGCAATTTTAAGATGCGTGGACTTCAAATCGCAGAGTTCGCTAGCCTAGGAGAAAGACTTGACATCATGAAAATCCAAGTAGGATCGGACTAGGTTGACATTTGGATAGGACCCCACCAGGAAATCCCAGGGCTCTAGGTTATATGTGGAAGGGGAATAAAATAAAATAAATCCCTAAATAATCCAACTACTATTAAACCACCAAATTTAACTTTTCCCTAATTGAAGTCTCAGAAAAGACCATTTGATACTAAGTCTCAGATAAGCCTCTACTCTTGATCCACAAACAGCTTATAATAGGAAGTGAAAAGTGCTTCTTTTTACATATTTGATGATTCTTTACATGGGTTAGCATGTTGTGTGAATGGGAGAGCTGTAATTCAGCCTCATTCTATGGTCTTAATTTCATGTATTTAATTTGGGAGCCCCCAGAACAAGCCTTGGTTAACGCCACAATTATGTTACACTGCAAGCATCGTTTGTTCTTAATTTATGTACGCTGCCTGTGGGAATTTTGCTTTTGCAGATTAAAACAAGTCCCTGCAGTATTAAATAATATTTAATAATATTTCAGGGGCTGTGCAGCAGGTGGACACTAGGTGGCAAGAAAGAGCTGCCCATAGCCGGCAAGAAGTAGCTTGAGAGTCATTAAATCCATGTTTTTTACAGCAATGGATGGATTACCTTGCTAAACAATCAGCCTCCAAACTGATCTGATATTCATCCCAGGCAGTTTTTGCTCTTCTTCTTTCTTGTCTCTGATCAAAGCAAAAGCATCCTTGCTTTTCTTCTTTTTCATCCATCCGTGCCAATTTATTCCCCCCACTGTTACTTAAGATGACGCAGGCGCTATGATCCACCGAGAATCCGATCAGCAGGAAGATAACATCTGGCTGGGTCAGATAGTCAATAGGATTAGTGCATCGGAGAACACCGAAATGGGGGTTTAGGACTCTGCAGTCTCCTTGGGAGTTGATCCTTGGGGTGATTTTGGAAAATCAGCCGTTTTCCTCTTCAGCGTTGATGAGCAATCTACAGGAAGTCCTCGACTTACGACCACAATTGAGCCCAACATTTCTGTTGCTAAGTGAGACTTGCATTAAGTGAGTTTTGCCCCATTTTACGACATTTCCTGCTACAGTTGTTAAGTGAATCATTGCGACTGTTCAGTGAGTGACACAGTTGTTAAGTGAAACTGACTTTGCTTGTCAGAAGGTCGCAAAAGGGTGTTGTAAGAAATATCCATCTGGTTCAGTTCCAAATGGGGAGAAAGGCACTGGAAACATGGAGGCTGATTGAAAAGATGGTTTATTGATGAATAGGACCACATGGGTTTGAGGTCCTGGGCAGCTGACCACATGGAATGGAGAGTGAGGGTTATTTATCCCTCTCTTGGGCCTTTTTTTTTTTTTAATTTGATTTATATGCCGCCCTTCTCCGGAGACTCAGGGCGGCTTACAATGCATTAAGCAATAGCCTTCATACTTTTGTATATTTTTACGAAGTCAGCTTATTGCCCACACAAACTGGGTCCTTATTTTACCTACCTTAGAAAGAATGGAAGGCTGAGTCAACCTTGAGCCTGGCAAGATTCGAACTTACTAATTGCAGACAGCTGGAGTTAAATTACAATGCATTAGTCTGCTGAGCTATCCAGGCCTTGCCCTTGAGCTTCCTGTTCCTGTGCAAGAAATGTATTCTATTGTTATTGTAGGGGTCACTGCTAACTTTGTAGGCTGTCTGAGTCTCAGGCTTGGTTGAAGCTTGCTGGGTGATGCAATGAAGGGCCTTGTTGTGCCATGTGGTGAGCTCTGCTGCTAGATGGTAGAGGGCTAATCCTATTATGTCCTGAGGGGTCATGTCTTAACCCCATCACCCTGGAGCTGAAGGTCTTTTGTCTTGTAGATAAGCTGGCCCAGTCCTGCTGGGGCTATTAAGAAAGGCAGGGGCTGCTTTCCAAGAACATGTTTCTCCTTTAGGGAAATATAATATTTTGCCTTTTTTAATATTTCCCAAAATATTTCATTCTTCTAGGAGAAGGGTGGGTGCTAACTTTCTACAAGGGGGTCACGTGACCCCGCGAGACTGCAACCATCGTAAATCTGGGCCAGTTGCCAAGTATCTGAATGATCACATGATCATGGGGATGCTGCAATGGTCATAAGTGTGAAAAACGGTCATAAGTCCGTTAAATTTTGTATCTGCATGTGATACAACAGCTCTGGCTGTTCACCGCCCTGAGTCCACTAGGAGAAGGGCGGTATACAAATTGAAATAAATAAATAAATAAATAATAAATAAGTCACTCTTCAGTGCCATTGTGATTTCAAACGGTCACTAAATGAACTGTTGTAAATTGAGGATTACCTGTATAGATATCCAAACCAGGCTGATTTTAAGGCCAAGCACAGCCCTCGGCTCTTCCATTGGCGAACTGATAAGACACGAACGCTCAGACTTTTAAACTTTAACCCAGTGTTTCTCAACCTTGGTAGCTTGAAGTCCACCCATCTTCAAGCTACCAAGGTTGAGAAACACTGTGACTCCTCTCCTCTGCCAAATATCTCTGGAGATTCTCCGTCATCCAGGTCACAGTTGTCCCAAAGGTTCTTTTTTCAAAAGACAACCGGACTTTCTTGGTGTTTTCTTTGAAAACAAACCGAAGAAGCTTTTCGGAGGAGAAGTGAAATGTGTTCAAAGAAAACACCCAGAAAGTCAGTTTGTCTTTTGGGAAAGAAGCACCTTTGGGTCTCCATGCCAAAGAAAACCTATTTTTTTCATCAATACAGATTGAAGTGGAACAGGGCAGATAAGGACAATTACAAGAAAAGGAAATGGGCTAAAAGCAAGCGAGGCAGTTAAAGACGAAGGGCTTGAAATTTGGGGGAATAATTGTGGGGTCCCACCTCTTTCCTTCAGCCCCTAAGCGCCTCTTTCGTTTGCTTAATGGCCAATCCAGAGTTGGGGCAAACCATCAATGCAGCCTTTTGGCCAAACCTTTTGTTCCCACCCCCAGTTGGACTTTACTCCAAAAGGTCACAGTTGCCTGATAATGTGCAGTGGCTTTGTTCCCACCACAGAATCTGACCAGCCATCCCTGCTCTGGGTCAGTTAAGTCCCCTTCATGTTGCTGCAGCACACAATGCAGTTGTGTGTTACCTGTTTCTTCAGCAGCAGCAATGGAAGCTGAGAGGGTGTCATTTATTTCCTTCCTTCCTTCCTTCCTTCCTTCCTTCCTTCCTTCCTTCCTTCCTTCCTTCCTTCCTTCCTTCCTTCCTTCCTCTCTTCCTCCCTCCCTTCTTCTCATCCCTTCCTTCCTCTTCTCTTTTTTCCTCACACCTCTCCCTCCTTTCTTGTCTTCCTTCTTTCCTTCCTCCCTCCCTCCCTCCCTCCCTCCCTCCCTTCCTTCCTTCCTGCCTCTCCTTCCTTCCTTCCTTCCTTCCTTCCTCCCTCCCTCCCTTCCTTCCTTCCTTCCTTCCTTCCTTCCTTCCTTTCCTTCCTTCCTCCCTCCTTGATTCATTCATTCATTCATTCATTCCAAGTCAAAAGGACTTGGAAAGATGGAGCTTTGAATGAGGAGGGCTATGTTGACCCCAAATCAAAAAGAGTTAGGAAGCCTCTTTTCAGGCTAGCCCATTCTACTAAAAAAAAAAAAAAAAAAAGCATGAACTGCAGCTCTGACAAGAGGCTGCCAGACCCGCCTTGAGACATGGGGTAGAACCTCCCTCAAAGAGCTGGTTAAGGAAGAGATCCCCAGTCTCTCAGTTATCTCTACTTTAGGAGCCGCCATCTGGTGTAGAAATGTTTTCTTCTCCACATCCATTTAAAAGCCAGTTGATAACTACTCAGCCCCATTCTGTTCATATGGAGAGTCAGAATTGTGTCTGGGTCAGCCGTGCACGTTAAGGGAGCGGGTGACTTACCCCCATGGTCTCATTCTCTCCTGCCACACATAGAAGTCCCACCCCTCGTCCTGTTGGAGAAAGTGAAATGATTGCTTGGGTTCAACAATGCAGACCTGGCTCTTTTCCAACCACAAGACTCCAGAGGAGTCATCTCCGGCTCAGCGTTTCTCAACCTTGGCAGTTGGAAGATGTATGGACTTCAACTCCCAGAATTCCCCAGCCAGCATTTCCGGGAGTTGAAGTCCATACATCTCCAATACTGGGAGTTGAAGTTCACACACCTTCAAGTGGCCAAGCTTGAGAAGTGCTGTTCTAGCCCTTGTATAGACCTCTTACCCAATGCCTGCAGGGCAAGATCTCCCTCTTGGACTACAGAGGCATCTGCCTCACATCCCAATGATCGTAGCCATCATCGTGTCATCATGCCCATGATGCCAGGCGCCCAATGACATCATGGTGCACGTGACACTACCTGTCCCTCCTACAGACACCCAAAGGGGAACATCCCTTGAAGATAACCCCGTTGCAACAGGACAGGACTCATAATGGAAGAAGGAGGCATCTGTTTCACTGACTTGATCTTAATCTGCAAGAGATTGAATGCACCGTCTGTTTGTCCTTCCTCAACAATTGCAGCCTGCTTTGTAGATGTCAATTCAACAGGATAATTACATTTTATGCCAGGAAGCAGAAGCAGCTATATCACAGAACAGGGGGAGGTTAACTTAAGGTTAAGCATTCATTGTAAAGTAGCCATTCAGATCTCTGCTAACTCTTTGTCTGTTTGTTCTTTGCTTAACCGTGTCGCTAAGCAATGCTATCCTCAAGGGTGTTGGTCCCTGTGGACCAAAGAAGTTGCAAGGAACGTTCTTCCAAAATATCATGTCTACAAAACCACACAAGGACTTCAACTTCTTCAGCCTAGAAGAAAAAAGACATTTATAACATGGATCCTCATAATTCCATAGACATAGAGAAGAGGGGGGGGGGTCAACTTACTGCAGGACAAGAGGCAATGGGTGGAAACTAATCAAGGAGAGGAGCAACCTTAGAACTAAGGAGAAATTTCCTGACAATTAGAACGATTAATCTGTGGAACAGCTTGCCTCCAGAAGTTGTGGGTGCTCCATCACTGGAGGCTTTTAAGGAGAGAATGGACAGCCATTTGTCCGAAATTGTGTAGAGTCTCCAGCTTGAGTAGGGGGTTGGACTAGAAGACCTCCAAGGTCCCTTCCAACTCTCTTATTCTGTCATTCTGTAAGAAGTGTTCCTCTGCCTATTTAATACGTTGTTTACATGTTATTTGCATTGGTACGAAAAGTATAAAATGGCATTCACTCTAGTATTTTAGTGATACAAATAACATTGAGACAGAACAAAATCTAGGCTACAATCAATGTAGAAATATACAGAGATCAACAGCAGGAGGCGATTCTAATAACCAAAAAGAGGAGGTTGTGATATACTCAAGCAGTTGTCAGTCATTCGCTTCATCAATAAAAGAGGTCTTAGGTTCAGTTTTCCCCAAAGATCAAACATAAAAGGAAACTACACAGTTTTTGATTCAGAGAAGGAGGAATAATGTCATATTCCTGCTTTTTTACAGCAGAATTCCCTGCTACTCAAGATGACAAAGTGCAGATAGAAAAAGAAGGCAATAATATTCTTCATGAATTTTTAACCTTCTGGTCTGCTTCTGGAGGCAATATATATATACACACATTGCCGTATAATCACATTTAGAACCCAAGTTCACACTGACATACACCACAAACATGATACAATAAGAAGTATGTGAAGACTCAGACTACTAATCCAGATGGAAGAAGGGTGTTTCAGTCCTTCCAGAAAACCAAAAATGAAGGAAGCTACCCCAATAGGTGGTAGGAGCAGAAATCCTTACAAAGCTGAGGAAAAGTGTGCGTAAGTGGAATGCTCTTCCCCATCAAATGCACCAAGGTAATTCCACAAGTAACATTTTTGTCTTCTCTGCAGGGTGAAATGAAGAGTTTGCTTCCTCTGTGGTTCCTAGGGCTCTTAGGCTGTCCTTTGAGAAGGACAGCCTTCTCAAGCTGTAGCATATCTGATGGGTAGAGGAGATTCTTGTGGTGGCCAGCTTTGCTCCAAGAGGACATCTGTGTTGCACAGGAGAAACAGTGGGCCTCTGCGGGCCTCCAGGCAAAGGGAGTCCCTTGGGGGTGGGGGAGAAAGACCTCACGGTGCAGCAATTGAGGTAGGAGAAGCCAAGAAGGACAATCCTGTGGCCTTTCCTTCCCTGCCAGTGTTGCAGGAGGAATATCAGCCCATTCAGGGTCTCCAGAAAGCTTGACGAGGCTGACCACCAGCAGGCCCCATCCCACCTTTCCCCACTTTTTTAGAGAGCTGAGAAGGAACAGGGAGGGTAGGTGGGGGATTGCCTCAAGAGAGGCTGCAGAGAAGGAGGTGGCAATAGTTCCTTCCCCCTCTTTCTTTGGAGGCCTGTCCTGTACAAGCAGGGCTGTGAAGGTCCCAGGGCCTCCCTGAAGCTTCACTTTTGGGGTGCCCTTGGCCCCCTTGAAGAATCAATGTTTGTTGGCAGTTTGGGAACAATGGTCTTTGGGTGGAGTTCACTCCACTGCCATGTTGGACCGTGCACAGCAGGCTGGGTTTCGCAGACAGTGCATCACCATGGCAAAGGAGATTCGCTTCTCCTCTTTGGCAGGCTGCTTCTCCGTGGCCTTTGCGCAAAGCTCCTCGGGTTCTGTTTGGAATTGTTCTATCTGGATCTCCAGGTGCTTCTGGATGGCCAGTCCAAGCACCTCGGGATCAACCGCTGCCCCATAGACTTCCCAGGTCATGCCTTCATCGTCCCACCTGACGTCTTGCACAGGAGACTTCTCACCTTCAGCTTCTGGCTTCAGGTTCACCTCTGGGAAGACATGAGGCTGGCCTTCTGCCAGAACAGATGGGCTGGTTGCCACGGACTTGCATTCCTTTCCTGTGAAGGTTTGCACTTCTGCGTCTCTGTAGTCCAGCGGAGACTGGAATCCCTGGGTGAGATCATTCCTAGAGGTCATGGTCCATGTGTCTTTGGTCTTTATGACTGTCTGAACCCCGTCTTGGTGGCTGTTCCATACCACATACACGGTCTTCGTTTCCTCCTGACCTTTGCTTGCTCGTCCATAAGGCTGAGGAGGCACCACCCGCTCCCCATGGGCCCCACAGCATCCCGGGATGTGGTTGGCTTCCAGACTTGACCCATTCACAGAGGAGACTTCAGTAGCAGGCAAAGATGAGCAGCCCTCAGGGTTGGCATGTTCTTCGCCCAGTTCATTAATGGGACATGCCGGCCTCTGGGCAAACCGGAGAGAAGGTGTTGGTAAGGAATGGCAGTGGGCGGGAATGGTGCCTTCTCCCTCCGCAGAAGACACGTGGCTGCTGCTGCAGGGCGGAAGGATAGCATTAGGAACAGTCACCATTCCCGGTGGGCAGGTGCCAGTTGAAAAGCTGCCGTGTCCTATTCCACTGTGAGCATGCACTGTCCTGTTGGAGAAAGGAGCAGGACTTGAAGCAAGAACATTTGTGGGATATGCTCCAGAGTCTGTAAAAATAGCAACATTGTGCGATGTAGCCCCTTGGTGAAAGACTTTAGCAGGTACAATATTGGGGTCCCTCGACAAACTTGGAACCTGCATCCTATGGCTTTGCAAATCTGGGCTGTTTTCACGAGGGTCCACTCCATATCTCAGTCCTGCAATCATCAGTCTGTCCACCAAAGCAAAATTACTACTGTGTGAACATACCGCCGGGGATGTGGCACTTGACTCTATGTGGAAGGCTGGACTCGGTTGCTTGCAACTACAGGTGAGGTCGGAGAGGCTTCTCCGGACTGCAACTCCCGGACCCTCCATTGTCCACTGATGTTGGGGGTTGGCACCAGAGGCTGGAGTTAACTTCTCAACAGGACCTCCCTGGAGGTATGTTCTAGGATACATCATCCCTTCTTCAGATGTTGGGGACTGGTCAACACTGAAGAAGTGGCTGCTGTTTCTGATGGGACGTTGTGCATTGTCTTGTGGAGAGAAGCTGCTAAGAATTCTTCCAGCAGTGGTCCCCTTCTCCTGGGCTTGGCAAACAGAACCGCTGAGGCTTTTGGGGAGGTCCTGTCTGTGGCTCTGGCTTTCTTTAAAACTTCCCTGCCTGATGCCTTCTAGGTTTGTGGAGCTCTTTGGCAGAGGGTGGCAGTCGACACTCAGATTATTTGGGTAGAGATAGTTCAAGGTTTCCCCCAGGGAGCAGTTGTGGAGCTGATGGTCTTTGTTTGCCATGATCAGTGGCTGCGTTGGAGGAGGAAAAGACAAGATTAGTGGTCAACTCAGTTGCTGGAGAGCTTGGTTTGAGTTGGGCAATGGATTCCTCTCCTTGGCATCGAACACCTGAGCTATGGTTTTCTGAGCACAAGTTATTTGAAGAGCATTTAAACCAAGGGTGCTTTCAAAGCAGTGTTTACTGTGCTCTTTCCTGCAGCTGGGGTCTCCTGGGGCTTCCTTTATTTGGGGAGCTCGATTGCATATCTAGGTTTCTGAAGACTAAAGACAAAACACTGTAAAAGCTGTAGGTCTCAAATGCCAAACTAGATGAAGGTCTATAAAAGAGGAGAAGAGCTTCTCAAAAGACCTTCCTGCTTAGAGAGGGTCTTGTGTACTGCACCTGATAGAGAAAGATAGATAGAGATAGATAGAAAGATGATGATGATGATAGATAGATAGATGAGAGAGAGAGAGAGAATGGATGGGTGGCTGGATGGATAGATAGAGATAGGGAGGGAGGGAGGGAGGGAGGGAGAGATGGCAGACAGACAGATGATAGAAAGATTGGTGGTCAAATATAGATTTTTCTTAACCTCCTTAGTCCTAAGAGAAGAAATGCAGGTCTTAGAAAGCAGAGCAATAATAATATGTGCCCCAAAGGTGCTTTTCTTAGATGAGAAATGAAACATTTTGAAGGAAAAACCCAAGAAAGTCCGGTTGCTTTTGGAAAAAGCACCTTTGGGACAAGCATGACCTGGGTGATTGTGATTCCCCATAGACAATAACAACAACTGCAACAGCACAAAGGAGACAAAGGAGCTAGAACCCCATGGCAGAGAGTTCATGTTTCATGCGCTTGCTCTCTGCTCTCCAAGCTGTTGCTAGAAGAACAGGAGGGCAAATTTAAAAGCTGGCTTACCAGCATGGCAATCCCTTAAGGAGTACATTACAGGAACCACTGGAGAACAGGGAGGCTGTGCGTTTGTCATGGTGCCTTACATTGAGAGTGTTTTGTCTTTCTACCAGCTTCCCAACAAGTGCAGAGTTTATGGGTGAGTAATTGAGCCTTCCTTGCTTCCTCCCTCCCTCCCTCCTGCCACTTACTTATGGTACTTACTTACTTACTCTCTGTATAGTCTGAGCAGCAATACATTCCATTAAGTTCTTAAAGTTGAACAACTACATTTATCTGCCTTGAGTGAAATCCAGCATAGCTATTAATGGTTTGAGAGTCCTCTTTTAAATTCAGCCTTTTTAACCTCTTCTGGAAAACTAATTACCACAAAAAAAGTCCTGGAATTAAAAAAAGAAAAAGAAAGAAGCAGAACCGCACACACAAAAATGAAAAGATCCCTTTAAAAATATGGCTGTTAGTCCCTTCTGTCTCTTTTATCTTGACAGTGTTTCTGGAAATTTGGGGGGGGGGAATGCCAGCAAGTTCCAGGCACAGGTATTCCCCAATATTCTCTGATAGTCTCAAGACACCAGATTCAGACAATCAACTTGGTCTCCAAGCAAAGAAAGACACCCTTCCTGAATATGCCTGCTGTTTGATTCTACAGGTTCTTGCTTACGTCCTCTTTAATTTTTGACATGTTCTGGAAAAATCCCAGATCTGCATTGCAAAAAAGAGACACAAAATTCAGTGGAGAAACTTCCCGTGTTTTGTTTTTCAAAAACCTCCCTTATATGTTGTTAAAACCTGTCACATTACCTAGCATTTAAAATCATTGTGTGCTCCCTTCCATTTTTATTTAATTCTGCACAAATGGCATGATATTTCATTTATCTCAGATCTGAGCTTTCCCGTTCCTACAGGAGTAATCCTATGATTTGTAACTGCAGCAACCACTATAACATTATTATAATCCCTTTTTGCACATTATTTTATCTGTTCAGGCAGATATGTTCCATCTGCAGATTCATATTTAATGCCACCATTGAACAGGCCCATTTAAAAGGAAAAAAATACAAACTCTGATCAATAAAGATACATTTGTTACAATATTTTTTCCTGGTGGAGAAAGAAATAAATGACCTGACACATGTCAGTCAATAGATCCGTCTAATTTTCTGGTGTTTCAAATCTGCCAGAGTTGTTTAATTTGACCAACTTTAAATTAATCATCTCTTGTGTACATCCATAAAAATGTTTTTACCCACTAGGGCTGTCATCTCAGCTAAGAAAGGGCCCATCTCTCATTTCTATGGATATAACTAAGGATTAATAGAAAGCAGAAGTAGCTGTCTTTCTTTCAGATAATTACAGAACTGAGTTACATTGCAGAATATCATAGTCAATAGATCGGCCACTGAGAGGATGTAATAGACAATCAAAGAGCAATAAAATCAATTTTCTTCCTTCCTTTATTTCAGTGGAGAACAAGAATCTCCTGTCTACATCTCTAAAACTTTCAAGCAGAGACTGGGAACTCAAAAATCAATACGAGATGTAGAGACTTCAGGTCCAGTTCTAGAAGTCACCAACTCAAACCTTAGAACCTGTTTTCTATCTTAATCTGGACCAAGTGGAGAGTAGAGCAAACATGACAAGTATACCTTCACTTTCCCTTCAAACAACCATCAAGTTATTTTTCTATCCCATCAGTTAGACGGACTGGACGAGTGTATACAATACAGTCTGAGCAAACGCTTTCTTAAAAATCCTCCAGGAGCAAAGGGAGTGGGGAATCACAGGAAAAGGAAGCAGACTTTCAGAATGACTGATTTGAGTGTATTTCTTAGCTACTGATTGGGTTTCTTTTGGATCAATTTTCTTTCTCTAGAATAAAACTGGATAATTGCTCCAGTTGTTTTATCAGGCTTCCTGTCTCTACCCCTCCTCGTTCTGCCACTGTTGCTTTTCTAATTTTATAGATTCCGCTTTGTTGTTTGCCCCAAAACCAGCTTCTAACATAAGATACCTGTCAAGGGTAAGGGGAGAATGAAAGATATTCTGCAAAGATACTTACCTTCCTTCCACGCCCTGAGATTTCACATCCAGATCTGAGAAGGAGTTTTCTAAAAGATGCTCAGGAGTCAGAGAGAAAACCCAAACAGCCTCGGGAGAGTTTTCAACTTCCCCTGGGATCTTTTCTTCAGGGAATGAATCTGAGGAAGGCAACCAAACAAGATCAGAGAAGAGGACATGGTCCTCCCCTTGTCAATGATGGGGAAGACCCCATACCCACACTTAATGCTTCTCTACCCCACTCCCCACCCCCACCCCAACAGACAGCGAGGGAACAAAATGGCCACGAGGGACAGAGATAATCCTATGTGTTTCATCAGATTAGAGCAAGAAGGGGAGGAGAGAGGGAGAAAAGAGAAAGGGGGACGTTGAAAGCTGCGGAGATAAAGCAGTGAATGCAGCCACACCACCAATTTGGGGCAATGTGAAAGGGGCAGTAGATGCCAAGCAGCCGAACAGCCATGATGGCCACCTTAGCCACACCTCCCGTTTTAATATTAATTTTTTTAAAAAATTCAGAAGGCAGGAAGAAGAACTTGATCTTCCAGGTCTTCCAACGATGTTTCCGCAGTTGCTGTAATTCAGGCCATCTACCTGCTGACACCCTTTTCTTCTCTTTCTTTCCACTTTTCTCTGCATTGCAGCATAGGAAGAAAAATCCAGGTCCAGTTCCAAGCCGGGAAATAAAATGGAGGCTGGAAATAAAATGGAGGCTGGCTGCTTAGGAAAGAAGGTCCGTTTATTGATGAGCAGAACCAGCAACAGCCTGTGGTTCTGGGACAGCTGAATGAGTGAATGGATCTTTATAGGTTTTTGTGGCTTTGAAGTTTGAACTGTTCTGGGGATTGTGCAACGAAGGGGCTTTTGTGTCTCTTGCTATTTCAATGGTGGTGGGTTAATCCTATCATGTCCTAAAAATCCTGTCCTTCTTAATCCCATCACCCTGGAGCTGAAGATGTTTTGTTTCTGAATAGATTGGCCTGGATTTCTTAATGGGCACAAAATCTCCATCTCTAAAGATTTCAGGCAGCTGCAGGGGGCTCTTTTACTATGCAGGAAACTGGGGCTCCTTTCTGCACTTTTAAGAGCATGTTTCTCCCTTTCTCCTTTGGGGAAATATACTATTCTGCCTCTTAATATCCCCCAAAATATTTCATTCTCTAGGAGGGGGGAACTTCCCACAGTAGACTTCTCCAGAAGTCTAGATCTTCAAATATTATGTCCAAAGGTTGATTATTTGAACCTGGTCATTGGAGTTTTCACTCATCTGGTTGATTGTCTCAATGATCTTTTGGTTGGTTTCCTTGACTATTCCTGGTATTCCTTGCCCCCCCCCCCCACCCGCCCAACTTAGAAGCAGAGGACCCCACTATTGGCAGGTTAGACTGTAGCCCATATACATGTCGCACACTTGCTTTCCTTCTAAAGCCATCCATTTATGGAGCCATGGAAACTTCCACAAAGGGCAGAGTTTGGCCTGAAATCACCCCTTGCTGATCCCCAGGAGGTAAAGCTTATGGAGGGTTTCCAGAAAGGCAGGTCCCTAAGGGCATTTTGCAAAATGATCTTTCCTCCATGCACCAGGGGAAGAGGAGGAGGAGGAGGAGGAGGGGAGAAGGAAAAGGAGAAGGAGAAGAGGATGATATGAAGAAATTATTTTAAAACAATTCAGCCCCAGAATTGCAAAATGTGCCAGGTTTTTCTAATGTTGTTTTCCCACAATGCCCTTTTCAGTTTCATGGGCCAAACTTTACTCTAGGAGATTTCAAACTTCATTGTGTCCGCCAGCCACTCTTTACTTGGAGATCTTGCCAGCTTTTTTTACACACAATTTAAAAGACAGCATGTTTGTCCCCAGAGGCCTCTGGAATTCCCACCACCACTTTTGGAGAAGCGAGTAGAAATGCAAGAAAAAAAAATAAGGCCAGGGATGCTTTCATTTCAGCCTTCCCCTGACTACGGAAGGAAAATTGATGAGGCTTGATTTAATGAATAAGCCAAAGCAAGAAAAATTCATCATAATTTGATCTTCTGCTCCGGTTCCTCATCCCGGACGGTTTAGGTCAGAAGGATGCTTTAGAGGCAGGAGCTAAGCCCCCTCGCTTTCCAGGAAGGAAGAGGTGGCTGCTGCCCTGCTGGGGCCCACTGGCTACCTCCTCCCTAGACTTGGCAGCTTCTCCGCAGCCCTGAGACATTCAGGAACTGGTATGTGACCAGGAGGCGGAGCTGGTTGTTCAACAGCCAAAGGCAGACAAAGGCAGACTGAGTGGAGTTCTTGCAGCTTTCTAATACCAGGTATATCAGATCTGGAGGAGGGTGTGGGGAGCAGAGCCATTGCAGCCGAGAGAAAGCCCTGTCTGACTGCTGCTGCTGCTGCCGCTGCTGCTGCGGCCACCACCACCACCACCTCAGACGCCTCAGATAGAGGAGAGCAGAACAGGACAACCGCTAGGAGAAAGTGCACGTTGGAGAGTTGGGTCCAAGATGGAATTGAAGCTCTGAGCTGCGGTGCAATCGAAGATCCTGAGAACCTCACCGTGTCTTCCGTCTAGGTGTCATGTCTGGTAAGGAACATCCCTGTGGAACTATTGCTCAGAGAAGGAACTTTGGAGATGGGACAGAAGAGTCGGAGGAGAAGGGCAAACACATCTCACTTTGGATCCTCAGTGGCATCTGTCCACCTCATCTCTTTGAACATGTCTCTGATTTAGCCACGGGTGGTTTCGGAAATGGGAGTCGGTGTCATTCTGCTTGGCTTAGCCAATATTTCTGTCCAGCTGGACCGAGCAGACAAAGTACCAGAATAAGCTTCAAGTTACCAATTGTCGATATGCAGAATTGAGAATCTGAGTAGATGCCACTGGTTCTCTCTTTCACCCGTTTACACAATCTGCAGAAATATCTCCTCCCTAGACCGGAGCACCCTCTGTCTGGGTCTTGGAGGTTCAAATGTGTATTTTGCACCCAGGGCTGTAATTTTCCCATTTTTTATGTGTATTTTTCTAGGACGTAAAGACGACAGCCATCGTGATTAACAACTGTGCAGCAAATTCCTTTTCCAATGGTCTCTGGCTTTCTTGCCTTCTCCATGCTTCACCCTGATTTTGCCAGGGGATCTGCTCCCTTATCCGACTCCTTCTAATTCTCATGTCTGAACCGCTGTTAAATTCTTTGCAGGTTGAAGGAACTTTTAGGAACAGGGTTCCTAAATCTGGGGAATGCCCTGATCTCACGAAAAAGACATGAAAAGTAAGTTCTGAGGAAATAAGATCTCAGACACTCTTTGAGAGGGGTTGAAACTTGAGGGACATGGCCAAACAGAGAGGTCTCCAGGGAGTCGGAGAAAGATTTCCACCCCCAGAGAGGAGAGAGCTCCTTCCTTTGACGTATTTCTGAAACCGATGTTGGAAACTATGCAGAGGTGTAACCACGCCTAGGAACTCTACTCATCAAGTCCTTGTAAAGTTAGGAAAATGAGTACAGGTGATCCTCGACTTACAACAGTTTGTTTAGTGATCATTCAAAGTTACAATGGCCCTGAAAAAAGGGACCTATGACCAGTGGTGGGATCCAAGTAATTTAACAACCGGTTCTCTGCCCTAATGATTTCTTCCAGCAACCAGTTTGCCAAACTGCTCAGAAAGTTAACAACCGAAGTTGTGAGAACTGGCTGAAACCCACCACGGCCTATGACTGTTTTTCACAACGATGACCGTTCCAACCTCCTTGTGGTCGTGTGATCAAAATTCAGATGCTTGACAACTGATTCACAGTTACGACCGTTGCAGTGTCCCCCGGGGTCATGTGATCCCCTTTTGTGACCTTCTGAGGAGCAAAGCCATATTCACTTAACAACCGTGTTACTAACTTAACAACTACAGAAATTGACTTAACAAAGGTGGCAAAGAAAGATCGTAAAATGGGGCAAAAATCACTTAACAAATGTCTCACTTAGCAACAGAAATTTGGGGCTCAGTTGTGGTCGTAAGTCGAGGACTACCTGTCTCCCTTTCCAGCTGCAGTAGTTCTTCTCCCTCTTCTTCCAGTCTCAGGTATGGTGATTGCTTCAGAGAGAGAGAGCAACCCTGATGTCCCACACCTGTCAGTGGGACATCTGACTGGACGGCCATCTGCCAGAAATGATGTAAGGTCTGCTGATGTAAGGGCAGGGGGGGGGGTTGGACTAGATGACCTACAAGGTCCCTTTCAACTCTCTGTTAATCTGTTAAACCTTTTCTCTGCCATCTTGAAGGTTTCACAGATGCAAAAGCTAAAGAGATGTTCTGTTCTTCCGAAGAACGTTCTCTCTCTTTCCGAGCCAGACTCATCGCTGTATACCTAAAAATGCAGGTCCAATCTGCCTTTATTTATTTTATATCTCAATTTTTCTTCACCACCAGAGGAAGAAAAAAACCATTGGCGTTCCTGTCGTTCTTTAAGGTCTAGCCAAGCGATTGTGTACAAAGGCAAGGAATGCAAAAACGAGAATATTCTGGTCCTGTTCAGCTTCTTGCTGTTTTGCTGTTTTCCAATTAGCAATGCAGGACCTGTTGCTGCGTTCTCACAAAATTGTGGCATGAACTTTTAGATATAAATCAGCATGTACCGTAGTCTGCATGCATCCATGTTGATGTCTAGAGATTAATTTTAAAATATTAATGCTGAACATTTAAAGGAAAACAGCCAATCTCACTTCCTGGCCAGACGACTGCAACCACGAGCATCTCACCTCCACTTGAGGTCCCTTGAGCATCGCACTTAACAATCTAGAATCACAGGCAGCAATCTGCTGCTCTGCCGTCATTTCTCTGAAACAGGCACACGTTTCCACGGTGGATAAATCTGATGTCCATTAAAGAGCGGCTATTTGAGAAGGAAATGAACTTTACTCACAGGGTGGGAGATAACAAAACAAGGGATCAGCTCCATCCATGGACTACCAAGCTGGCACCGAAAATCAACTATTGTGTTTTTCCAAGAGGCAAAATATTGCTGTTAATAGCTGCAAAGTGATGCATGGTTTGTTGATGGCTTGCTAATGTCTCTGCTTGTGATTGGAGATGCTGAACGCAGGGAGGAAAAAGCTGGATGAGTGATGGCAGTTTCATTCTACCTTCCTCCCAAGTTGCTCTGGGTGTTGGGACTACAGACAGGTCAGGAACTCCAAAATGCTTCCAGTGGCTTTCAAAACACAACCCTTGGGAGATGCTTGCACGGTTCAGTCTTCTAGGTCTTCTACTGTTGCCCAAGCCAGCTCCTTTGGGGCCAAAGAACTTCATCGTGAAAGCTTTCAAGGCTGTGAGGTCCTTGGTGCTCTTTGAGCTTGGTTGTTTTCTTAGCTAGACCCAACTAGCTAACTTCCATCAGTGCTAGAAGGGAAGGGATTTGCTCTCTGTTTACTAGATGTTACCTAGTTATGAAGCGTCTGCTAGAAAACAACCAAGCTCAGAGAACACCAAGGATCCCACAGCTGAACCCTCAGCTACAAATATCCTCTTCTATCGGTACCTTCCAGTGCAATCAAGGTGACTCAATAGCTTTGTAACCCAGCCCTGGAGGGAGGGAGAAGCAATGGACTTCCTTTCGTTTCTTGCGTGAAGTGGGGCTAATGTCTATTTTTCCAGCATGTATGGCAACTTCAGGGGTAGAAAACAGTTTTAAGGAACCACTTGATCTCTTTCATTTGCAGAAGGGACCTTCCATGAAAGAGAGGGAAGTAGTGTAGGAAGTTAGCACCCACCCCATTTCTTCCAACAGTAGGGAGAAAGGATCCCCATTATACACCCTTTTAGTGCCTAGGGCAGCTGGCGATCGTGACTATGACTTGTCTGGTATTTGAACAGTGAGACACAATTTTATTTATTTGCCCTGTTAGCTACAGGACAGAGTCAAGATGGTCCTTTCCAATTAAGTGGAAGGAAGTGGGTGGAGAGATCAAATACCCCTGGATAAGAGCGCAGGTTGGCCTGAAAGGACAAGGAGAAGTGTGGCACACTTGAAGGTGTTGGATGACATAGCCATCTGGTTCAGTTCCAAGTGGGGAGAAAGACGCTGGAAACATGGAGGCTGATTGAAAAGATGGTTTATTGATGAACAGGACCACATGGGTTTGAAGTCTTGGGCAGCTGACCACATGGAGTGGAGAGAGAGAGGTACTTATACCCTCTCTTGGGCTTTGCCTTTGAGCTTCCTGTTCCTGTGCAAGAAATGCATTCTATTGCTGTCGGACTCCCAGGGGGAGGAGGTGCAGCCGAGGTCAGTTTCAGCAGGTTCTGACCCGTTCTGGAGAACCGGTGGTGGAAATTTTGAGTAGTTTGGAGAACCTGTAAATACCACCTCTGACTGGCCCCTCCCCCATCTACTCTCTGCCTCCCGAGTCCTAGCTGATCGGGAGGAAATGGGGATTTTCCCCTGGATTGGGGAGGGAATGGAGATTTTATAGTATCCTTCCCTGCCACACCAATCATGCCACGCCCACCAAGCCACACCCACAGAAACGATAATAAAAATTTTTTGAAACCCACCACTGTTATGCAGGGATCATAGCTAACTTTTTAGGTCTTCTGAATTAAGTCTGATTGAAGCCTGGATTCTCTGAGGTGATGCAATGAGGAGACTTGTGTGCTGAAAGGGTGTTGGGCCATTCCTATTGTGTCTTAATGGCTTTCCTGGTTTGGATCTTGAGCGAGGGCTGAGCCTGCCTTTCTATCTAATTCTGCCTTTCTTCAAAATATCCTGTCTTGAATGGATTACCAAATCTGCATTTCTAAGAGCTGGCCTCAGCTTAGTATCTGCTTGGGGGGGCAGGGAACTGTGGCTCCGAGTTTCCGTTTCCTTTAAGATTTCTATTTCTCTTTTAGGGGAAAGATAATATTCTGCCTTTTTAACTATTTCCCCAAGTATCTTCTAGGAGAGGGGCGGGTGCTAACTTTCTACAAAGGAAAGCAGTGGGGATGAAGCAGAAAACAAACAGCTGCCAGAACGGTGGGCATTTTTTTTTTTCCTTTGGGAAGTGGATGTCTTCACTTTGCATGTTTTATGCCTGTGTTTGTGTACACCAGGACAGGCAGTTGCTGTGGCTGGTGGAGTGGTAGCTGGACTTCTGCTTCTGGTCCTTCTGGGGATCGCCGCCTACCTCTTCTGGAAAAGCAAATATCTCAAGGCCTCCTATGAAGAACTGACTGATCCGGTCAACTCAATTTTGCAGGAGCCAGACGTTGCTCAGCCGACTTTGGTTCTTCCTCAAAATGGCAGGTACAAAGGCCCTTTTCCTGCTGGCCATCACCTTCCCTCTTTGGGGACAGAGACGAAGACGCTCTCTCTGCACCTTCATATTCTTTGGGGATCTCCTTCCTCTGCCAGGGATGGGGGATCCAGTCAAGGCTCAAGTGGATCAAAGCCTCTGTGGGTCAGGCTTTGGGGAAGGACAGTCAACCTTGGGAATCCACGGTGGCCGCTCCGACCACTGGGCCAGAGACAAGGAGCCCCTCCTCTTCCATTCCTCTTTACCAAGCAGCCAAAGAAATACACACACACACACACAAAGCAAAAGTAAACAGAATGCCGGTATTTAAGAGCCCCTGCCGGAAGATTCCAAAAATCAAACAATTCTTCAATAAATGAACAACAGACATTTTCCAGCTCATTGAACAATATCTGACTGCATAATAACAATAAAATAACCACGAATCACTTAAAAGCCCTTCACATTAAGCCAGAGGAAATTTCAACCGATTTTTCCTCTGAAGAGGGGGGGGGGGGGGGGGGGGGCAACGGGGACCTACACCCTTCTTTCTAATTACCAGCTAATTGGAGGCAGAAGATGTTCCAGGAAAGGTAACAAAGAGAGAGGAAGGAGAATTGGGTAAACTGGGAGAAAGACTCTAGAATTTGTATCAGTCCTGGGGCAAAATTTACACAATCTCTTCATATCAAGTTCCCAGCCATTTTTTTCCAAACCTTTGCATTGATCCACCATTAGTAGGATGTGGAAGCATCTTTGACAGCCATGCTTTGTAATTAAGACATCTAAGCAGACAAAATGCGGATGTTCAGAGCATGCTGTCTATTCTTATAATAATTCACCTTTAGATTAATTAATTTCCCTGTGGTGGTTGAAGAGAAATGAAAGCAATGTGTGTCAAGTTTCAGAATCTGCTTGTCCTGGGACAATATGCAAAGTCATTTAGCCATGATTTGTGGGTATCTTAATGCTTAAGGTTTGGTTTCAATTCAAAACACCATCTTTCCATAGAAAAATTTAAATCTCCTGGATTGAACTTTTTTCAAATTAAAATGAGGCCAAAAAGTAAAGGCGTCTTGGCTTTCTGTCTGTTACTCTTTCTCCCTCTTATTGGTTTTAAATTTTCCCACTTTTATTCATCTCTCTACCTCCTCCTCCCCCACCTCCTTCGCATTTCCATTGGAAGGGAGGTAGTTTATTCCCAGGTCTGACACCGGAACCCTGCAGTAGTGGGTTTCTATTTCGGCCGCTACTGATTGGCTCATGGGCGCATGCGCAGAGACGTCTGGGCGGGTGGGCAGATCCTCCTGCCACCGTCGCTACCAGTTCGCCCGATCCAGGGACCACTGGAGCCCTGTTTTATCCACTCAGCTGCCAAGTGTTTTAATCAGCAGCTCTTCTCTAAAAAGACTCAAGGTGTCCCAATCTTGAAAAGATGTCCCAAGGAAGTCCTTTTAACCATTCTATCTTAATTTTAGGCTAATTATTTGGTCTTGTTTTGTCAGATGGTGGTTTTATTGCTCTGATTTTGTTCAGCCTGCTATTATGGATTTTTTTGTTTTTTTTTAACTGTTGCAGCTACTTTGCCGGCCACTGACTGTCAGTAAGTACGATTATGGGAAGAAAAGGAACATGTAATTCTAGAAAAGGGCCGGGAAGCAACAAGCACAATCTGATTAATGCCAAACATCCTTTTAAGTTCCTTTGACTTTTTGTGGGGCAGATTTCAGCTCCAATTTCTTCCATTTCGGTTGGAAGGGTTCCAGATATTTCAACCTTGCCTGTGCTGTTTTCAGAGCAGTTAGATTCCTGATATGGTTTTTGTTTCCTTAATATAACTCAACTCTGTGTTTGCCTTTGGACAGAGCAAAGAGCGTTCCTTTCATTGTCCCACCCAAATTTCACCGACAAGTGTGGACCGATACGCTAAACGGAGAACAAATTCAAGAGGAGAGTGAGCTTTATGTTACCCCAGACTCTGGACCCCGATCCTCTTTCCATTCTTTAGGTGGGTTGGCACTTGTTTCGGTGAGTAGAATGCCAGGAATTGGGTTTTGCCCCCAAATCCCACTTCTGCATTAAGTCAATGGGCTTAATACTTAAACAGTATTGCTGTTTAAATAAAGCCCTTTCCTGTTTAAATACAATAGTTTCCTGTGATTTTGCACAAACAAACCTATCTGCCAGAAACAGAGGAGGAAAATTATTAAAGTCGTTAAGGGTCAGAACCTATTTTGATGGTGCAATCTGGTTGAGGATCACTTCCTGTACTTCCAGTGTCACTCAAAATACCGAATGTGAGCATTTGTCCCAGACCTAGATTGGCTTCAGACCTACGTTGATCCCACAGAAGTTTGTCTTTAGATAAAAGTTAAGATTATAATAGCTGATTAGGAAAGACAATAAGCGTGAATTTTCAACAAAATGCCCTAAAACTTTGCATAATTTTATTTAGGAGATTTATATGGCTGCCATTCATTCTCAGTGTCTTTAGGCAGTTTACAGTGTCTTTAGGCAGTTTACAAACAATAAAAATCCAGTATAAAAGAATAAAAAACCCAATACTCCTTCCCCCAGCAACAACACCCAGCCAAAGGAGCCACTTGTTCATCGGGGGGGGGGGGGGGGATAATTTTTCATTGGTGGAAACATTATCTTATCCCTCCTGCCTCTTTGACTGTTGAGCCTAAGAGGTTCTGTAGCTTTTCTTCCGTTGTCTGCATGCTGGTTGGACCAAATGGAAGGTTCCTTGGTGCCCTGGGGCATTGCAGCCCTCCTCCCTCTGCTTCCTTGGAGCAGAAACATTCATGGTGCAGGAGACGCCACAGTAAGAAATTTGGAACATGACCCTGCTACCTTCAGAGGGTGCCTATGTCCTGATGAGGCCACCAAGTGCAAAGCTGAAGGCGATGTCTTAATCAAGGGACTGAAAGAGAGAGTGCAACGGTCTCATTTGTTCCCAAGATTTGTTATGACTTTCCAGGTACCGTTGTGCAATTTTAAGTGATCCTGGTCATCCAAAAATGCACTTTTAAATAATGAAAAGGGTTACATAAAACTTTTAAACGGTTGGGATACTATGTGATAACACAGAAATACTGTGTGTATGAGATACTGTAGCTGCTTTTAATTAACAAATTAAGGGTCCATTGAATTGAATGACTATAACATTTAATTCAAGGAATAAAATTTTTATTTTGGTATCCATTGATTATCTCCTACACATTTATAAGCTAATTCCACTGAACCACGTTACGTTTAAGAGGTGATACGATTCAGCTTCTGTCTTGAAAGCTCGATCACTCTCAGATGCAAAATTATTATATCACCATTCATTGAAATGCATGGATGGTCCACAGTACATACGGTAGAAGCAACCAGGTTTTAAACAGGCTTTGCCCACTTCATGTTTCAAACTCAGTGAGCTTGGCTGCTTCCTTTCTGTCCTCAAGCTGGAGCGTACCTTGTAGGGACCATCAATCCAGAGCTCTACCGGTTTCCAGAAGACAAGAGTGAGACGGACTTTCCAGAAGGAAACATTGGTCGGCTTTGGTTCTCCGTGGAATATGAGAAAGAGTCAGAAAGGCTCCTGGTGTCCTTGATTAAAGCCCGAAAGCTGCAGCCTCCTTCTGGTTCCTGCAACCCCTTGGTGAAGATCTACCTGCTCCCTGATGAGAGGCGTTACTTGCAATCTAAAACAAAACGCAAAAATCTCAATCCTCAGTTTGATGAGGATTTTGTGTTCCAGGTAAGCATCGCTGAAGATGAGCTTGATCGATCTCTATTGTGGGGTCTTAGCTTGGTTGTTTTCGTGCAGGCGTTGCATATCCCAACTAGGTAACGTCACCCGTGCACAAGAGCAAGGGAATGGGGTTTGTGGAGGAGGAAGAGGAGGAAGAGAACTGTGGGGTCCTTGGTGCTCTCTGTACTGGATTGTTTTCTTCTGGACATTTCACTACCCAAATGGGTAATATCATCAGTGCTAGAAAGGGAGTAGGGTTTCCAGGGGGGAAGAGGAGGAGAACTGTGGGGGTCCTTGGTGCTCTCTGAGCAGGGTGGTTTCCTTGCAGACGTCCCAGCTGGGTAACATCATCAGTGCTAGAAAGGGAGTAGGGTTTGCTCTATGTATGCATAAGTGGCTTGCCCTCTCAGTGTTGGTAGAAGTGTTGTTTTCTTCTTGATAGTTCCTTGATTGGAATTCAGGTTCAGGTTTTCAGCCAGCCAGTCACACCAGCCCCCAAACAATCCCCAAGATCTTATCACTCCCAAATGTTGAGCTAGGAGTGACCAACCGTGGTCTGCTTGAAAGATCATTCTCATCTGAAGGCAGACCAGGGGTGAAATCCAGCAAGTTCTGACAGGTTCTAGAGAACCAGCAGCAGAAATTTTGCACTAGTTCAGAGAATCGGCAAATGCCACCTCTGGCTGGCCCCAGGGTTGGGTGGGAATGGAGATTTTGCAATATCCTTCCCCCAGGAGTGGGGAGGAAATGGAGATTTTGCAGTATCCTTCCCCTGCCACTCCCACCAAGCCACGCCCACAGAACTGGTAGTAAAAAAATTTGGATTTCACCACTGAGGCAGATCATTGAATTGTTGGATCCAATGTTCCCTTATCCTTCATGAAACTTTGGAAAAAGTCTCCTATGGAGAAACTGACCAGGATGGAGCTTTATGTATTCCCAGAATTAAAAGGTTCTGCTCTACCTTGAATATTCCAGATTATCTTGTTCTTCCTCATGTTCAGAGCTGTGGTCAGATTCATCCCAACTGCTTCTCCTCCTGTGCTTCCTCCTCCTCTAGATTTCAAGCACTGTTTTATTTCAGAGGACACTGAAGTTCTGTGTCTACCATGTTGATAAACAGAAGAAGCAGGTCCTCCTGGGTCAAGTGATCTTCCCACTGAAAAACGAAACTTTGGCTGAAGACGGGAAGGTTGTCGTCTGGAGAGATTTGGAACCAGACAACCTGGAGGTAAGGAATGAATGAAATATTAAGTTCATGAGATGAATAACCACATGGTTTGTTTTGGGGTGTTGTTGTTTTTTAGGACAAGTCTGTAAGTAATGAATTTGATAGATCCTTACATACGTTCTATGTTGGCTAGAATTCACATATTATTTAGCTCCCTCTGTGATTGTTTTTAACTTAATGCAGTCTGTGAAATTGCTTATTTGTGATAAAACTGTTATTTTATTGTTTGGGGAGCTGTGGGGTCACCGAGAATGGGGCAGTCCTGGCAAAAATTAGTCGAGGCTGTTTTTCTTTTGATTTGTTGGGACCTTTGGTAGGAGTTCTTTGCTTTCTGAGCTATGCTAAGTCCATGTTGGGAGTGACAAGCCTCAAGTAGGTCCTGTCTCAAAATGGTGAGGATTTGGAATACAAATAAGGGAAGTGAGGATCAAATTAAGTCCTGAAACCTAAAACCGGGTACTTCTGACTTGCATTCAAACTAAAGCTTGATGTGTTCTTCAAGAAACCCTGGCTTAGCGTTATGTGTGACTATAATCAGCATCAGACTGGATGAGCCAAGAAAATCTTACTGATCTTATTTGCCTTCTTCCCTCTTGTCAGTCAATCAGAAGAAATTTCTTGAGGAAAGGAATCAGATGTTGCTGATGTAGGAGAACCTTTCCCAACAATTCTGACCATCCACCAACATCTGGATGGGTGGATGAAGGAGAAAGAGAATTAATTACAGACTCATTAGCTATGCTATTTCTAGTTTAGCCATCCCACTAATAATTGGAGTGAATAACAATTCAAGTATAGATTTCTGACCCGTGTCTTCTTCTGCCTCCTTCAAGCCATCTTCTGAACATGGCGACCTCCAGTTCTCCCTCAGCTACAATGACTACCTGGCCCGGCTCACAGTGGTGGTTCTGAGAGCGCGAGGTTTAAAGTTCCAGAATGAGAGAAACGGCACTGGTCAGTATCACCAAACCGGCACCTTCTATTCTTCAACCGTGAGAGGAAAGCAAGAAAACTTTAAATTAAATTAAAATCAAATGTTTGAATATATATTCCACATCTCAGTTTGGGTCTAAATTGCTACCCTATCTGGATTATCCAACTCCAGACCACCAGATGGCAGGATTGAGATATTCTTGATTCTTCTTTCTCTTTGCTTTCATCCAGTGGCCATTCAGAATTTTGCGGCAGCCTACATTAAACTAAAGCAATTCTTCCGTGTACAGAACTTTAGCCCAGAATTCCTCTGTTTCAAAAATTGTTTATTCTCAATATCCAACAATTTTATCCCTATTGGGGACTCAATGTCGAATGTCCTCTAAATAGTTTTAGGAGATTTCAATATTTGCTTAATATTCTATCTGTATTTGACATCTCATGATCTTACGCTGCAGTATTTGACATTTGCTACTTATCAATTGGTGTATAAACTTACGCTACAATACTCCAGTCTATTAAAAATAGTGGACAAATTATTTATGAGGGCACTAATAATCCTCCACATTTTACATACCCCTAATTCTCTTTACTACGGCACCCCAAGTAGGCAACGTATTGAGGCATTATAAAGAAAGGACTACAGATTGTGGTAAAAAAAAAAAAAGCCAAATTGGCAAATACAGGGGTGCAATCAAAACTCTTTTTATGTGTGTTGCATGTATGATGCAGATAAGACAGTTGGGGCATTAATCACATCATAGTGGCTTTGATTTTGATTGACACTAATTATAGTACTAATTCCCCCTGCCTTTGTACCTACGTGCTTATGTTGTGAACAAAAGAATTCAACTACGGGTGACCTCCCTCCCTTAGAACCATTTCCAAGACCTTCTGAAAGCTTCTCCAAGGTCAGATAGCTGGTGTTTTGTGAGTCAACAAATCCCTGCTTTCTGATGCCATGATTTTTGGGTCTTGGCTTTCCCTGGCAGTCATAATAGGATCTCTAGGAGGTTTGACACATTTATTTAGCAAGTGCCTCCCTCCCAACTTGCCAAAATAAAAACAAATATTAACTATTTCAGTTCCAGAGACTTTTCTCCTATGTTCCTATAGCTTTTGGAGGCTAAAGAGAAAAAAAAAAAAAGAATGAGAAAGTTGTGTATTCCTACCCCTCTATATAGCTGAGGTGAGAATAGATCACACTCACAATGTCTGGCTGAATTTAAATCATATAGAATAGCATTGGAAGGAACTATGCATTTTGGCTTTCTGATAAGGCATCAAAAGATGATAAACTCAAAGAATTCAACTTTAGAGTTAACTGCCAGACTTTCCTATTAGATGTTGGAGCAGCATACATTGAATATTGACCAAGCTTTGTTTTAGATATCTATATCTATATCTACTTTACAACAAGACCAAATTTCCCATTATCCATGCTTATGCTGCTGGAAAATTTGGGGTATTGTTATGGGTGCAATCCATAAAATTAAATTAAAATTATATGTTGATGGCATTCTTCCAACATATAATTTTATTCTGGCCATATGTTGATGGCCATTCTGGAGGTGGTGCTTGAGCATCGTTTTCTTCTTCTTGTCCTTTTGTTCCAGGGGTGTGTGTTCGAGTGTCACTAATGAACCACAACCAGCTCATCAAAAGCAAAAGGACCACAGCAATCATTGGATCCTCCAATCCATTATACAACGAGACTTTTAGCTTCAAGGTGGACCAGCTGGAGCTGGACGCAACCAGTCTGACCTTGTCTGTTCTCCCAGGGGATGGTAAGCAGCCCATGAAGCTACTCTCAGGAGTCTTGGGGACTCCCTTTAAGTTTCCGCCATGATCTTTGTTTAATCCTCACAATTTTTGTGGCTTTGTTTAGAGACCTCCTCCCTGGGCTGTGTGATTGTGGGGCCCTTCATGTACACCCGGGGGAAGGAACTCGAACATTGGAACGAGATGATCAGTAAACCCAAGGAGCTGGTGAAAAGATGGCACGCTCTGTCGCTTAGCAGCTGAAAACTCTCACAAGAGAGCTTCCGTCTCCGCCGTGGGTCCATTCCGATTCAGTTCATCACAGAAGTTCTGGGTCTCAGGGATCAAAGACAAGGGACAACCTTCCTCGAAGAGGCTGGATCACGTGCTAGTACATTATCTCAGATGACCCACTGAACAAAAATGAGAAGACTGTTTGATCCTAAAAGTGAGAAGAGGCCATCAATCACTGAGGAACATGTGCTGGACGTCTTGCTACTTTTATCATAACTGACATTTAATGGCCTTAACCCCAAAGCTCTGTGAATTAGTAGTATAATGCACCCTTAAGTGTAATTCAGAGCTGAAATCAAGGGGTTTAAGAGTACCCATGTCAAGGCAGTTTTGCTTTAACCCCAGACAAATTACAGTTTATGAAGCAACCACCTTTCAAAGGACTCTTCTAACATAATATTGCAGCATTCCTGTTGAAAGCATGACTATTGAACCAAATGGAATAAACACTCTTAGTTCATTTTAGTCATGTGTTTATTTAGTCCCAACTCAGAGCAGTGGCTCAGTGTGGTTAAGATGGTGAGGACGCTAGGCTTGTCGGCTGGAAAGCTGGCAGCCCTGGTTGGAGACCCGAGCTTCACACGACAGGGTGAGCTCCTGTTGCTTGCTCAGCTCCTGCCAAGCTAGCAGTTTGAAAGCATAGAAATGCAAGTAGATAAATAGGTACCACTTTGGTGGAAAGGTAATAGTGCTCTGTGATGTCACACTGGCTACATGACCTCAGAAATGTCCTCGGACAATGCTGGCTCAATGGCCTTGAAACAGAGATGAGCATTGCCCCATAGACTCAGCAAAGGCTAGTTGAGTAAAATCTTCCTCCCACCCATTGGAAATCTGCTGTCTAAAGTATTTCCACAGTTTATTTATTGTTCATCTTGGGAACAGATTTGTAAGATCTCATACAGGAGTCCAGTGATTATCACTAAAGAACTGAATCACCTTGCAGAGTCAGAAAGAAATAAGGGTCAGCTAGCTGTTATAGTGAGCATAAATATTCTAGCTATCTCCTTGGTGAAGAATGGTTGCAGGAATTGGGTTTGTCTAGTTTAATAGAAATAAATAGTAGGACTGTAGGGGGGACATGATAACAGTCCTCCACTATCTAAGGGGCTGCCACAAAGAAAAGGGGGTCAACCTCTTCTCCAAAGCACCCGAAGGCTGGACAAGAAGCAATGGATGGAAACTAGTCAAAGAGAGAACCAGCCTAGAAATAAGGAGAATTTTCCTGACAGTGAGGACAATTAATCAGTAGAATGACATGCCTTCAGAAGTTGTGGGTGCTCCATCACTGGAGGTTTTGAAGAAGAGATTGGACATTTGTCCTCTGAAATGGTAGAGTTTCCTGCTTGAGAAGGGGTTGGATTAGAAGACCTCCAAGGTCCCTTCCAACTCTTGTTATTCTGAAATTTCCATGGACTTCCTTACTTATTACTATCAACAATAGAAGTGGACATTCAGATTTCCATCATGGAGCTCTCAGAAAATTTGATTCTGCCATTAAAAGAGAGTGTAATCCAGTGGTGGATTGCTCCTGGTTCGGCCCAGTTCTACCGAATAGGTAGTAACTTTAGGAAGTAGTTCTCCAAACCGGTAGTAACGGCAGCCAGGCCCGAACCGGTTCTCCAGTCGCTGCTTGCTTGCCCACCCGAAGCTGACCGGAGCAAAGAAGCATCTCAACCGCCTGGCCACAGGGTGCCGAAAAGTCCTTCAGCCGGTGAGAAGAGAGCTGTGCATGCGCGAAGATGGCAGCAGCGACCGGAGGTCTTTCCGGCGCTGTGCGCCAGTGGCTGGGTGGAAAAGAAGCCTCTCGGCTTCCAAGTTCAGCAGCAGGCTCAGTCCCTTCACACAGGATCGCTTTTCTCCACGCCCGAGAAAGATCAAAAGGTGCGGAGCAGCCTTTAATGACAAAGTCACCTAGACGAGGTAAAAGAAAACAAACCAAGGAGCCCACCGAAGCTGCTGGCGTTGCAGCTGCCCTCTCCTCCCCGCAGCTTGGAGCTCCAAGCGGAAGAAGTCCTCGGCTGTTGCGAAGAAGTGGCAGCTCTGGGTGCACCACGCCCACTTCTTTCTCTTTGAGAGCTGCTTTGCAAACAAGGTGCAAAGCAGCTCTCAAAGAGAACAAAGTGAGCGTGGCGCACCCAGAGCTGCCACTTCTTCGCAACAGCTGAAGGCGGAAGAGTTCACTCAGGAGCGACACCAGCAAGGAAGGCAGCTGGGCCGGAGGGAGGCGTATCCTGAGCTCTCTGAGATGGGTAAACAAGTGTGGGGAGGCGAAGGGGAGCGGACTTGGCCCTCCGCATGTTGCATCCCCCTCCCAGCCTTCACCTGCACCTCCGTGCCGCCAGCGTCTCCCGAAGCCGCCGCCATTGGAGCCACGACAGGGATGGGGGCAGCCCAATAAGCTGGGTGCCCGAAAATGGTGTGTCTGGGCTGCAGCTGAATCTGCTGCCCTGAGCTGGCGGAGTGGGTTGCTCCGGCTGCAACCATGAGGAAGGCCCGTCAGAGGCGAGAAGGGGCGCTTTTTGGCCAGGAAGGGCAATGGAGGGAAAGCCGAGACGACCACCGCCACTCCACATGTCCCGACCTGGATATGGAGCCGGAGTGTCAAAAAAAAAGTTTCAAAAATTCCCAAAAATTTTAGCTATCTTTTCGGTGGGCGTGGCTTGGGGGGGTGTCATGTGACTGAGTGCGTGAGTGACATCACATTGGCCAAGCCCAATCAGTCACCCCCCCCAGCCACGCCCACCAAACTGGTAGTAAAAAATTTTAGAGCCCACCACTGGTGTAATCCTTTAGTCCTTTCAATAGGGAGGGACAATTGCACTCCATGAGTTATTTCTCTTCCCTTAGCAACAATTCACTAATTATTTGCCTCCAATTTTGGCAGAAAACTGGCAGATAAACACAATGAGGAAAACAAGGTAATCTGAGCTATGGAGGACTGTAATGTCTGCATTATTGGAACTGTTTCCTGTTGTGTGAAGACTTTTTCCATTCTCATGCTGTCTGACACAGCTTGGCAAAATTCTGCATTGATAAAGGAAGTCTTTTAGCTACTACAATCTCTTGAAGAATCAAATGATAAACCTCTACGCTGGGGTCTCCAAGCTTGACAACCTTAAGACTGGTGGACTTCAACTCCCAGAATTCCCCTGGTTGGTTCTCAAAAAAAAAAAAAAAAAAAAAGAACCTCACCTTTAAATCTGAGATTCAGTTCAATCTTGGTAAATTCTACTTGTGATCCTTTTGCATGTCCATTATTTAAACAAACTTGGGGTGGAGAAATATCAAATTATTTCAGAAACTCCTCTGAGAGTCAACTCATGATCTTTTTGTAGCTAATAATTTATTCCTTAGCTTGACAGCTCTTGAGCAAAGAAAAAAGATAATCAGGAAATTAATTGAAACAGGAAAGGTGTTTTTTGTTTTTTTGTTTTTGTTTGCCAGAACAGGATGCCGTATTAATGAGACCCGTGCTCTTTTGCAAAAACACAGGATTTTGCTCTTTGCTACATAATTATGATTAAAGGAGTTCTGGTAAAGCACCAACATGCCCTCCACCGTGTGGCTAATATAGACTTTACACTTCATGCTGAACTAATTTGTCTTCTTGTGCTGCGAGATTCCCCCCTCTCGCAGGCCTGGCCCTCTATGTTATCGAGGGCCCACCTTAATGACGGATCTTGGGACCCCGAGAGGTGGCATGTCGCAAAAAGGGGATTGAGGGGTTTTTTAAAGACTTTTTTAATTAGACTTTTAAGGGGTTCTGAGGGTGGGGGAGGTTATGTGGGTTTGGGGGAAAACCCACGGGGGTTGGAGACCAGTCCGGCTGCTATTAATGGTGCCGTAGGGGGTTCGGACTCTGGGGGAAAGGGGACTGTTAGAATGCCCTCTAGTGAGGGCTTCTCTATTAGCACGCTGAATGGGAGGGGCAGGTATGGCGGGAGCAGGGGGCCATATCATGTGGTGGGGGCACGTGCTCGCTATCTCCGAGCGATTGCGTGCCCCGGTCCCCTTAGCTCTTCCCGTTCCCCAGGCTGCTTAGAGTCTCAGCGCCCAAGTCTCCGACTGATGTTATGTAATGCCAGGTCCGTAGTAAATAAAGCCCCCCTCATTTGTGATCTTATTCAAGAGGGGGGAGCGGACCTGGCAGGTATCACGGAGACCTGGTTGGGCCATGAGGGGGGAGTTCCCCTCGTGGAGATGTGCCCATCAGGCTTCCGTGCATTTCATCAGCCGAGAGCTCAGGGCAGGGGCGGGGGGGTGGCGGTCATTTTAAAAGAAGGTCTTGATCCGAGGGAGACCACTGTACCTCAGATAGCCGGATGTGAGTCCCTTTTTGTGAAGTGGGGTCGTGGGGTGCAGATGGGTCTGTTGATCACGTACCTGGCTCCCTGCCACGTGGCAGCGACCCTGCCCGAACTCCTCAATGTTATAGCCGAGGTGGCGGCTGATACCCCCAGACTTGTGGTCATGGGGGATTTCAACCTGCCATCCATCGGTGAGACATCTGAGGTAGCTCGGGAGTTCATGGCTTCCATGACGGCCATGGACCTGACCCAAGTAATTCACGGCCCTACTCATATGGGGGGACACACTCTGGACTTAGTTTTTATCTCTGGTCAGTGGTTGAGTGGCCTTGATATAGGGGATGTAGCTATTGAACCCTTGTCATGGTCTGACCACTCGCTCCTTCGACTTGACTTTCTGACCGCCGTACCCCGTCGCAGGGAGGCGGAACCGACCAGGTGGTTCCGCCCCAGGCGCCTGATGGACCCTGATAGGTTCCAGATGGAGCTTGGGCCATTTCCTGAGACTCTAGCTCATGACTCGGCTGACGACCTGGTGGCCGCCTGGGATAGGGCGGCTGCCGGGGCTTTGGACCGGGTCGTGCCTTTGCGGCCTCTGACCCGGCTCCGAACTCACTTAGCTCCTTGGTTTTCCGAGGAGCTGAGGGTGATGAAGCGCCGGAAAAGACGCCTAGAGAGCGGTTGGAGGGCCAGTCGTTCCGAGTCTGACTTGACACTGGTAAGGTCTCATATTAAGACCTACCTAGTGGCGATAAAAGCGGCGAAATCTAGCTATTTTGCCGCTCTTATTGCGTCATCAGATAACCGCCCAGCCGCCCTGTTTAGGGTGACCCGCTCCCTCCTCCATCTGGGAGCGCGGGAGGACCCCTTGCAGGGCCGAGCTGAGGATTTTGTACAGTATCTGGATGATAAAATAACTCAGATTCGGGAAGACTTGGCCGCCGACTCGGTTAGTTCAGACGAGATGACTGAGGCAGGCCTTGAGAGTGTTATCTAGGAGGAGTTCGATCCTCTGGCTCCCGAGGACGTGGACAGGATCTTGGGGCGGCTGAACGCAACCACATGTTTATTGGACCCGTGTCCCTCCTGGTTGGTGCTGGCTTCCCGGGAGGTTACACGAGGCTGGCTCCAGGGGATTATTAACGCTTCTTTGAG